TTTTTTTTAAGGGGGGGGGGGGGGGGGGGGCGTGACCCCCCGAAGAGATGCCTGGAAGAAACTCTGACAGCAACCCAACTTGGAGAGAAAACTCTAAAAATACCCGCACACGGGTAGATTGGGCATCAATAGCTGGGGACAGCAACCCATCCAGAGTTTCTTCCAGGCATCTCTTCGCCCCCCCCCCCCCCCCCCCACCGAATAAAGTATATCACACCCCCCCCCCCGAACGAAATGAAAATTATATAGAAAATATATACTTTTAACAGTGTCCGCCCCCCAAAGAAATTCTACCGCGACCCCCCCCCCCCCCCCCCGCTCCCGAGAAAAAAGTCTGGAAGAAACAACACTGAACCCATCTTGGAGAGAAAACTTCAATATCAAACAACTGCTGCCTTGCAGTTTGTTTTTGTTTGGACCAATGCGAATCTAGAAAGAAAAACCAAACAAACGATAGGTTTAGAAAAAAAAGCCAAAAATTCGATGACAATTTATTTATAAGAATTCGATACTTCAGATCAACTATTGTCTCATAAAGCTCGCCTGAGCCACGCGGTATCGATATTCCAGTATCGAAATGGCACTAGCCCAGTAAACGGGAGCTCATGCTGAAAAGGACCATCCCTGGTGGAATTGAATTCACCAAAGTCTATCTAACCGCCCTGTAATTAAAAAAAAAAAAAGAACAAACCGCCATGTTTGACTACTTTTTTTGTTTGTGTTGAAAGGGCTTCTTTTTAAATCCCGCACGATTGATTTGCTATGCAATTCAATTCCACCACGCATCCCCCTCCCCACTTTACCACCACAACATCCTTTACTTTTTGGCGTATCCAAAAAAATGTAATTTATTTTATCATGTGCAGACTACACTATGGATGACTCATTTGTCCCAATAAAAAACAATATGGCGAGATTATCATTTATAAACAGATGCGCGCGCATCTGCAATGAAGGGTGTTTTGTTTTGTTGGTTATTAATATTTATACCATCGGGCGGGGATGTGTTTGTGGTTGATAAATGGGGATAGTGTTGTTGTTAATGGTAATGCAAATGTGATAATAAACTGTTAATGTTGATTTATTTGGTTATGATGGTGACTTTGGTTTTGTTGATTATGATATAAATATAACGTGAATGTTGATTAATATATAAATATCAAAAGGATGTAGTTATTGTTGCTTTTCTGATGATATAAAATTTCGGATTTTTTTCTTTTGATAATTTTCTGTTTTTAATGGTCGGATATATAGAGTGACACAAATAGCTGTCAGATCCTTTCTTATAAATATAAGTTACGAGAAAAATGGCCCGTTGAGGAAGGATACCAGGGGCGTAGCGAGGGGGGGGGGGGGCGGGGGGTGCGGACCGCACTGGGTGACACCATTTAGGGGGGGTGACACCAAGGCAAAAAATTAGCAAAACATATAGAGAAAAACTTGAGGGGGGGGTGCAAATCGAAAGTTTGAGGGGGGGGGGTGCAAATCGAAAATTTGAAAGTTTGTCCCCGGGAAGGGTCGCTACGCCTCTGGGGGGGGGGGTGACACCATTAAGTGCCGCACCGGGTGACACCCGACCTCGCTACGCCACTGAAGGATACAATGGGCGCTAGGTTGATAGTGCTGTCTATTTTCTCTAAACTAAAACCAAAACCAAAATCACCACCTTAATTCAATTTAACCGGAAACGAAAAATGACATTGAAAACGGATTTTTATCCAGAATCGGTACTTTAATTTATACAAAATATAGTCATAGGCATATCTCTAAACCATGCACCTAATCTCATTCATGACAAAAGTCGCATTTAGAGTTTCTTTCAGGCAACTCTACTTGGGAGGAGGGGGCTCCGTGCCCCCGCCCCCCACACACACCCCAAGTTTTGTATGCCCCACCTATCTGTATTTGTGGGCTTTAATATCCATGTCTATTTGGCTGTAGTTTGGTGTATTAAAATGTGACGAAGTGTAAGTAAAAAAAAATAATCGATCAAATATTCATGACGTCATTTGTGACATAACCAGCCGCGTCATCCACGCATATCTGGTTCTAAGATCGTGAGTCTCTATAGGGAGATCGAATTATCTGGAATCGATATTAGTTTAATAGTATCGATTGTGTGAATCTATTTTGCTTGACATAGTGTTGATATGACATTTAAAAAAATATAGTTATTATTTTTGTTATTTGAAGTGTGAAAGTATTATATAAATGCGAATGGGTATATAACTGGCGGGTGTAGGACAAAGGCCGACACGGACAAAAGGTCGACAGGACATAAGGCCGACAGCCATAAGGCAGACAGCCAAAAGGCCGACAGGACATAAGGCCGACAAGGACATAAGGCCGACAGCCATAAGGCCGACAAGCATAAAAAATACTAATATCGCAAAATATATGTTACTGCATAGCTGCTATCTTGACAACTATCGAAATAAGGCATGAAATAAGGGGAAACATTCAAAGGCATGAAATAAGGTGAAACATTCAAGAGAGGAGACGATGCTAGTTGCTATCCTTATTAGGTGAACCATCGGCTCCAATCGGCTGAAGATTACGGGAGTGTCTTAAACACAAAGCCCAAAAGTCTCGAGTTCGGATCCCTGTAGGAATCCTCTGGACATGCAGAGCTATGATGGGTACCTGACTCACGTTAGGGAAACTAAGGCGGCGTTCATACACACAAATCACACTCAACTAAAAACGACATCAATCTATGCAAGTCGGGATTGCTATCCTTTTTAGGTGAACCATCGGCTCCAAGCGACTGAAGATTACGGGAGTGTCTTAAACACAAAGGATCAACACCTAAATATTGCGAAATGCGGTCACTATTGTCTTTTATTGCTCCTTCTATGTCAACGAGGTGAGGCAACCATCAAAGAACAAAGTCAAAAGCCGTCGCATCATCGCCCACATGCAACAAGGTGGAACGCCAAGAGACAATGCTAGATGCGATCCTTATAAGGTGAACAATGGGGTCCATGCGTCTGGAGAGGACGGGAGTGTACAAAGGATAACCAGAAAAGTGGTGTCACCACCATATTTTGCAAAGAAATCAAAGAAACCGAATGAAGTAGAACGATCACGTGCCTTTACTGGACTACATGTTAAAATACCGACAAAATTAGAATTATATTTTAGTTTCGTCCATTGCGAATTGCGTGAAAGTGAAAAAAGTGTATACTATATTCGTTGGATTCATTAATTCTGTTGTGATTGTGATACAAGTGTGCCGAAATTGGTAATTTTTTTTGTTTTTTGTTAAAAAGAAACACCACATTTGATATCAATAAACAAAATACAAGTATGCCTACTTGTTGTATAAACACAAAATATGTTATATTTTGAAGGCGAGTCGGGGGTAGGTGGAATAATTTGACGCATGGCATAAGACTAAATGTAACATAGTAAATACAGTGCAGTCTAGTCACGAAACTTTTATTAAACTGAAATCAATTGGTAGTGATGCCTTTAACTACAATTTGTCAAACTATTTTGTAATATACCTTTATCATTATGTAACTGGTTTTCAATAAAAATTAAACATGTCTGTAATTGTAGTTTGTTGTTTTATAAAACTTGTCGGCCTTTTGTCTTGTCGGCCTTTTGGATGTCGGCCTTTTGGATGTCGGCTTTTTGTCTTGTCGGCCTTTTGGATGTCGGCTTTTTGTCTTGTCGGCCTTTTGTCTTGTCGGCCTTTTGTCTTGTCGGCCTTTTGGATGTCGGCTTTTTGGATGTCAGCTTTTTGTCTTGTCGGCCTTTTGTCTTGTCGGCCTTTTGGATGTCGGCTTTTTGTCTTGTCGGCCTTTTGTCTTGTCGGCCTTTTGGAAGTCGGCCTTTTGGAAGTCGGCCTTTTGTCTTGTCGGCCTTTTGTCTTGTCGGCCTTATGTCCATGTCGGCCTTTTGTCCGGATCCCATAACTGGCAACACTACCCCTTCATACGCCGAGGTAAAGTAAAGTTTCCCTTTCAAACCTGACGGTCTATGGGGCAAGTGAAGTAGAGTTCACTTGTTTCTGTGACCTCGGCATATGAAGAGATAGTGTGGTCAGCACTATGCCCAGGAGTTCGTTCGGGAAGAGAAATAAATATATAAATAATAATAATAAAATACATAATTTATAGAGAAAAAAATATATTCTAAGCAGTGTCCGCACCCCCTCCCCTCAACCCCAGGAAATTTTAAGTGCGCCCCCCCCCCTCCAAAGCTTCAAGTGACCCCACCGGAGAAAAATATCTGAAAGAAACACTGTGCGTGATTCCTACATATGTAACATAATATAGGAGTGATGGTCTTATCAGAGTGGTTATACATCGTTTTATGAAGTAGAGTTTGGGGAAAATATTATACTTTTAAACTTATGCACAAGCCTCCTTCCCCTCCCCCCTCCACCAAAAAACAAATCGAAATAACGGCCATAATGGTCCAATGTAATTATTATTTACCATTTTCCCTTAAAGTAGCTTTGTCTCGAACCCTTGAACAAATCGGCTTGTTCAATACCGACCCTTAATTCATTTCTTGCGCAACTTTTAGATCTAGTTTCACACTAACAAACATTGTGCAATATATCAGAACAGATTTTAAAACTCTAATTGTGAAAAGTAAAACGACTGAAATTTAACAAAATTAAGATTCGAAAAATTAATGAAAACGTCGAAACAATAAAACGAAAGAAATCAATAAAAATTAATTAAAATGTCGAAACAACACAAGGAAAGGAAAAAAAATCAAAACAATCGTGCTCGAAAATCGTGCATTATTTATCACATTTTAAAATTTTAATTTCTCAAACACGACTAAACATTTTCACCAAACTAAAAATTTGAACAAAAAATTAAAAACTCGAAACAATAAAACGAAAGAAATAATAATCCAAAAAAAAAAAAAAAAAAACAATCGGGGTACAAGTTAGAATATTTCCAGAACCGCTCAACTCTACTGGAACCAGAAGCAGACGTCGATTATAACCGCGGCGGGGAGCGATTCCATTCAGCGATTCCACGTCTGCTACTTGCAGGATACGTCGTGCCAGGGTAAGTTCATTCAAATTGGTCAAACTTGCCAGTTTGTATATTTTTGTAATTGCCGTCGTTGTTTACATTACGTAGCAGATGCTACACATGGGGATAGGGCGATTGTTTGTGATTGCTGGATGTACAGTTAATTACGGCTAATTAATTATTGAATAGAATATTAGAGGGCGAAAACGATACTTCGCCAGTCTGCGCCTGTAGATTGAATTTTTTTTTGTCCGAGCGTTATAAATTGTGCGGGCATAAACTTTATGTTTATTTATGTCTATGTATGTTTATGTGTGTGTGTGTTTGTGTGTAAGTTCGTTTCTTTGTGTGCTTCAACGTTTGTTTGTGTGTATGTATGTATGTGTGTGTGTATGTTATGTGCTGGTGTGTTTCTTTGTCTGTGTTTGAGTGTTGTTATGAGTATGTTTGTGTGTGTAAGGATCTGACCCATGTTATATAACATCGAGGTGTAGGGAGAGGTTTATCATTAAATACTGATCTCCTTTATATCAGGTATTTGTGGTATGATATGGTATAGGACAGTATTACACAGTGGTGTAGCCAGGAATTGGTCATGGGAGGGGTTCAAATATTTTTCATAGGTATATAATCATATATATATATATATATATATATATATATATATATATATATATATATATATATATATATATATATATATATATATATATATATATATATATATAGGGGTGTGAGTCCATGGGAGGGGTTATAACCCCCCCCCTAACCTCCCCCCCCTTGCCTACGCCACTGATATTACATGTCACTGTCACAATTTGTTATTTACTTTAATCTCATCAAATATCTACTATTCAGAACTCTGATTCTTCTTCTTCTTCGTTCTTAATTATAATACTGAAGGTGATTTCCTCCAGCATAATTAAGTATTAGCTTTTTTACACCCTAGAACAAACACCTAGACAGGAGTTGGTTGATTTTTAAGTTTTGTTTACTTGATCGCTTGCTGTCTTCAGCTAATGAGCCTCATTAGCCCAGCAAACTTTGAATGATAATTTAAAACAATTTGCTTACAAAGTTATTTATTTAACATAACGATCATTGGTGGGACGGGGTGGCCTAGCGCTAGGGAGCCAGACTGCTAACTCATAAGTCTCGAGTTTGAATCCGGGTTCAAGTCAGTAGACCGTCCCTGAGACCACCCAGCTCTAATGGGTACCTAACTCATGTTAGTGAAAGTAAAGGCGGCTGGGCATAGTGCTGACCACACTTTTCATTCATATGCTGAGGTCACAGAAACAGGTGAACTCTACTTCACTTGCTTCATAGACCGTCAGGTTTGAAAGGGGAACTTAACTTAATGATCATTGAAATATATATCCAAGAAACGTTGGCATTGTTTTAGTAAATTAGTTTTAACCTATTCTTTCAATCATATATCATGAGACATGAAATAGTTTCGAGTATAATTTTTATACTCTCTACAAGGTGTCTTTAAGTCATAATATTTCCCTTTAATTTTTGCATTGGAATTAGCGTGGGTGGTCAGAAATAAAAGGTGGGGTTGGGATTATTATGAAAGTCAGTTATTGGGTTCTGTTTAGCATCAGGCTAGGGCGTAAGCATTTTTATCCTAAGCTAGGCAGCAGTATACATATATATATATATATATATATCATTAGTCATAGGCATATCTCTAAACCATGCACCTAATCTCATTCATGACAAAAGTCGCATTTAGAGTTTCTTTCAGGCAACTCTACTTGGGAGGAGGGGGCTCCGTGCCCCCGCCCCCCCACACACACCCCAAGTTTTGTATGCCCCACCTATCTGTATTTGTGGGCTTTAATATCCATGTCTATTTGGCTGTAGTTTGGTGTATTAAAATGTGACGAAGTGTAAGTAAAAAAAAATAATCGATCAAATATTCATGACGTCATTTGTGACATAACCAGCCGCGTCATCCACGCATATCTGGTTCTAAGATCGTGAGTCTCTATAGGGAGATCGAATTATCTGGAATCGATATTAGTTTAATAGTATCGATTGTGTGAATCTATTTTGCTTGACATAGTGTTGATATGACATTTAAAAAAATATAGTTATTATTTTTGTTATTTGAAGTGTGAAAGTATTATATAAATGCGAATGGGTATATAACTGGCGGGTGTAGGACAAAGGCCGACACGGACAAAAGGTCGACAGGACATAAGGCCGACAGCCATAAGGCAGACAGCCAAAAGGCCGACAGGACATAAGGCCGACAAGACATAAGGCCGACAGCCATAAGGCCGACAAGCATAAAAAATACTAATATCGCAAAATATATGTTACTGCATAGCTGCTATCTTGACAACTATCGAAATAAGGCATGAAATAAGGGGAAACATTCAAAGGCATGAAATAAGGTGAAACATTCAAGAGAGGAGACGATGCTAGTTGCTATCCTTATTAGGTGAACCATCGGCTCCAATCGGCTGAAGATTACGGGAGTGTCTTAAACACAAAGCCCAAAAGTCTCGAGTTCGGATCCCTGTAGGAATCCTCTGGACATGCAGAGCTATGATGGGTACCTGACTCACGTTAGGGAAACTAAGGCGGCGTTCATACACACAAATCACACTCAACTAAAAACGACATCAATCTATGCAAGTCGGGATTGCTATCCTTTTTAGGTGAACCATCGGCTCCAAGCGACTGAAGATTACGGGAGTGTCTTAAACACAAAGGATCAACACCTAAATATTGCGAAATGCGGTCACTATTGTCTTTTATTGCTCCTTCTATGTCAACGAGGTGAGGCAACCATCAAAGAACAAAGTCAAAAGCCGTCGCATCATCGCCCACATGCAACAAGGTGGAACGCCAAGAGACAATGCTAGATGCGATCCTTATAAGGTGAACAATGGGGTCCATGCGTCTGGAGAGGACGGGAGTGTACAAAGGATAACCAGAAAAGTGGTGTCACCACCATATTTTGCAAAGAAATCAAAGAAACCGAATGAAGTAGAACGATCACGTGCCTTTACTGGACTACATGTTAAAATACCGACAAAATTAGAATTATATTTTAGTTTCGTCCATTGCGAATTGCGTGAAAGTGAAAAAAGTGTATACTATATTCGTTGGATTCATTAATTCTGTTGTGATTGTGATACAAGTGTGCCAAAATTGGTAATTTTTTTTGTTTTTTGTTAAAAAGAAACACCACATTTGATATCAATAAACAAAATACAAGTATGCCTACTTGTTGTATAAACACAAAATATGTTATATTTTGAAGGCGAGTCGGGGGTAGGTGGAATAATTTGACGCATGGCATAAGACTAAATGTAACATAGTAAATACAGTGCAGTCTAGTCACGAAACTTTTATTAAACTGAAATCAATTGGTAGTGATGCCTTTAACTACAATTTGTCAAACTATTTTGTAATATACCTTTATCATTATGTAACTGGTTTTCAATAAAAATTAAACATGTCTGTAATTGTAGTTTGTTGTTTTATAAAACTTGTCGGCCTTTTGTCTTGTCGGCCTTTTGGATGTCGGCCTTTTGGATGTCGGCTTTTTGTCTTGTCGGCCTTTTGGATGTCGGCTTTTTGTCTTGTCGGCCTTTTGTCTTGTCGGCCTTTTGTCTTGTCGGCCTTTTGGATGTCGGCTTTTTGGATGTCAGCTTTTTGTCTTGTCGGCCTTTTGTCTTGTCGGCCTTTTGGATGTCGGCTTTTTGTCTTGTCGGCCTTTTGTCTTGTCGGCCTTTTGGAAGTCGGCCTTTTGGAAGTCGGCCTTTTGTCTTGTCGGCCTTTTGTCTTGTCGGCCTTATGTCCATGTCGGCCTTTTGTCCGGATCCCATAACTGGCAACACTACCCCTTCATACGCCGAGGTAAAGTAAAGTTTCCCTTTCAAACCTGACGGTCTATGGGGCAAGTGAAGTAGAGTTCACTTGTTTCTGTGACCTCGGCATATGAAGAGATAGTGTGGTCAGCACTATGCCCAGCCGCCTTTACTTTCCCTAACATGAGTTAGGTACCCATCAGAGTTAGGTCTACTGACTTGAACCTGGATTCGAACTCGAGACTTACGGGTTAGCAGTCCAGCTCTTTACCACTAGACATACGCCGAGGTCCCCAGGTCCGAAAAGGATATATTTCTTGTATTTCGCAAAAGACATTTTTAAAAAAAAATTTAGTTGTGATTGTTTCACAATGGCCTGAACTGACATTTCAAATATTGTCAGCCAGTGGTTTTTTAATTGACATTTAAAATAACTGTACGGATCGACATTTATAATTTGATTTTTCTCATGGCGGTTCATTTTTGACGTTTCGATGTGAATTTATCTCAACATTTCAAAGGGCCGTTAAACATGATTGCATTCCATTAGGTATCGTTAACGCTGAATAAAACAAATAAACCTCTCTAATCCCCCCCCCCCCCCCCCCATTGGGACTTGGGACGGAGTTGACTAGCGGTAGAGAGCTGGACGGCTAACCCGTTAGTCTCGAGTTCTAATCGGGCTCAAGTCAGTAGACCTTCCCTGAGTCTACCCAGATGTTTTAAGTACTCAACTCACGTTAGACAAAATAAAGGCGGCAGGGCATAGTGCCCAGGTCACAGAAAGAAGAGAACTCTACTTCACTTGCCCCGTAGAGAACGTTACTTACTTTACCAATCCCCCCCCCCCCCCCCTTGCGTCACCTCTACTCTCCTTCCCCCTCTCTTACTCTATCTCTATACTTTCAGTATCACAAACTATTTCGCTCAATAGAATCTCCATAGGGTCCCCGAACACCACAATAGACTACATTGAATTCTTCTGGACTCTACATAGAGTTCATATTGCTGGAATCGTCGCCCTAGATTAGATTCTGATAGAATCGCTGCATGCAGGGCTTTGTCTAGTCCCTCGAGGGTATAGCACATTTTTTTTCACTTACCAGACGGGGGATGGGGGTGGTCTCCCAAAATGACGCCATACATGTGGGATTGGGTGGGGGGGGGGGTTGAGAGGTCGGTGTAATTTGCTGAGGTGCA